GTAAATTGTGATAAAAAAGTGCCACTTGAGCTCAAAGGAAAATTCTACTGCTCAACTAGAAATGAAGGATTTGCAATCGGGTATGAAACTAAATTTTGGGTTGTTAGAAGTTTACAAGAAATGAAAATTAGTGTTGAGATGAAAATATCATAGTGAATAAGGGATTTAGAGAAAAAGTAGAGGTAGCTCACTGCCTCATTGTAGAAAAGATTGTAGAATATTGTGACTCTTCTTAGATAGACATGCGTGGAGTAGACCCATAAAAATTCCAGGAAGGAGTAAGGGTAGATAGAATGAAATACTTATATTTTTAATAGGTAGAGGTAGAACTATAAGGCGAACCATTAAATAAAGATTTAGAGTTAAATGTTATATCTGTAATTATGATTCATATTAATAAAAATAATAATGATTCATATTAATAAAAATAATAATGGTTCATATTAATAAAAAAAATAATGATTCATATCAGGGCATGTTTTTGTTTGATTCATATAGTCGACCCTGACTAGTGGAAAATTGTTTTGGTTGCTGCTGCTACTGTTCTGAGTTACCACAATTGGTACAATCGAACGGTGTCTAATAAAAAGTTTGTGAGAACAACGCTCTCGCAAAGGCTTGTTGCGAGCCTTGAGCTTTGCTTTGAAGGAGCTACTTTACATCCTAAACATTCTATAATAAAATTTGAAGGAGCTACTTTGCATCCTAAACATTCTACAATAAAAAAATATTTAAAAAAATTAGAACTTTGGGAATTGTAGACAACTTTCATTTTAATCAAACTAGTTTTTGTATGATAAATCCTTCAAAATACTGTAGAACTAGCAAGTGTAACATGAAGTAGCTCAGGATAAGTTGTAGAAGTAATCTAATTAAAGTGTTGAATTGTAGACAAAGTCAGAGAGGTGCTGGAGCTTGATCAAGAGATGAAGGATCTAGCAAATCTATTGATTGCTGAGCAGTCTCTTCTTGTCTTTGGGAGAGGATACAACTATGCAACTGCTCTGGAGGGAGCATTGAAAGTAAAGGAAGTGGCACTTATGCATAGTGAAGGGATACTCGCAGGCGAAATGAAACACGGTCCTTTGGCATTGGTCGATGAAAGTCTCCCGATTGTTGTTATAGCTACACGCGATGCTTGCTTCAGGTTGGTTGTATTAACTGTTGAGTAGCTCTAAGACCTGAAATTAGGAGTTTAGCATTCATTGACATCCTTATCTTTTACATTTGGCAGCAAACAGCAGTCTGTTATTCAGCAACTTCATGCCCGTAGAGGTCGTCTGATAGTTATGTGTTCAGAAGGGGATGCTGCTTCTGTATGCCCTGGTAATTCTTGTAGGACAATTGAAGTTCCACTGGTTGAGGACTGTCTTCAGCCTGTTATTAATGTAGTTCCATTACAGGTAAATTTTTAGCTTTTTACTCTGCTTTATTTTTTCCTAACATTAGTACACTAAACAAAGGGATAATGTTTCATTATAGTGTCAACCATTTTATTATTAGTCTGTCTTTATATTAACATATTCTCAACTGTGTTTCTAGTGATCCTATTGATTATTATTCCATGAGCTTCTTTGTATTTTCTCATTTTGAAAATAAATATCAGTGTCTAGTTCCACATGTGCAAGTTTTGCAGTTCTATTTCCTTGTAATCTAAAATAATAGGCTGGCTTCTTCCTTTGCATTCTTCAAAAGATTTGTGAGTAGTATATATATTTCAACATAGTATTTCTTTCTGTTGCAGTTACTGGCATATCATCTCACTGTACTGAGGGGATTTAATGTCGACCAGCCTCGGAATCTTGCTAAGAGTGTTACTACGCAGTAAAGTTTAGTTTGTTTACTAAGGAAAGAGGAAGATGTTGGTTGAGTTCTCTATTATTCTGACAAAATATATTATCAAGGTCCTTTATAACACTCCATACGCCGAGACATGATTGCACTTGATGAACACTTCAATTCTTTATCATGGACAGGGTAGCATAGCATGTTGTAAATTGATAGATGTAGGCTCACTGATTTATCTACAAGTCAGCTTCTCACCAGATAGAATAGATATCGAGCATTATTTGTTTGTGGTATTTGATGTATTTGTTTGATATTGTTGGAATTGGAATGAGTACTCTAAACGGCATGGCCATTACACGTCAATGTTTTTGAGGCTGAAAACTACCAAACACGCCCTTGAAGAAAATGAAGTTATTAACGAGCAAACACTCTACATTGGGAAAAAAATTATCAATCTGCAGGGAACGATGCTATTGGCTCATTAAACATTAGGGACGTAACAAAAATATATAGCAATCAATTAATTATTGAGTTCAGTTGAGACTTAAGACACAAACTAGAATCCTCTCGATTTCAGTCTTAAAAACAAATTCTTAATATTGCCACTCCTTGATTTAGAATCTTTTTAACTTTTTTTTTTCTTTATAACTATCAGACACATAATAAGCAATTAAGTTTATTTTTTTTTTTCAATATTGTTTACATAATCGAGTTCATAGACACTCGCTCTTAATCATCACAAAAATACTCAATAACTATAATGATATCTCACTTATCTTACGAGTAAATATAAAGCCACATTAATTCGTTAATAGTAATTTATTATAATTTCTTAATTTAGCTTGTAGATTGCACGGGTTTATATCTACTACAGTAGTTTTTTATTGTATTACTTATAATTGTTATCTTTATATTTTAAGTTGAATAAAACCCTAAAAGAAGCCGCATCCCTTCTTTCTTTTAAATTCTATTTAGTTTTTATTCAAAATCACTTTTTAAAATTTTATATGTATATATAATGCAAAAATATTGTCTAAATTCTTTAAATTATTTTAAAATATTAATTTAGTTCTTTAAGTTTTTTTTTAACGCTTTATGTTAAAATAATGTTTTCGTCGTTGACATTTTTAAAAATTCTCGTTATAATAAATTGCAAACTCATATCATTTGAACTGGTTTTTCGCGTTGATCACGAATATGCAATCAAATTTATTAAACAAGTTACAGTTCATGAGAATCAGAAGAAAAAAAAAGAACAAATACATAATAAAAAATCGTTCGATCCGATCAAAATACACAATCAAACACAAATTTAATTACATATTCGTTATCAGCTCGAAAAACCAATTCAATTGGTATATGAATTTGCAATTTATTATAACAGAGATTTTTAAAAAGGTCAACGACGTAAACTTTACTTAACATAAAAGAGCAAAGCGTTACAAAAATAACTTAAAAAACTAACTTGATATTTTAAAATAACTTAAAAGACTAAAACAATATTTTTCCCTTTAATTTATGTGATTTCGTTATCTTAATGAAATGTTATGTTGATCGTCGTCTTATAGCGACGTTATTTTATTTTTCCATTTTAGTGTCGAGTTTATTTAATTTAGATTAATATATTAATTTTAACTCTGGCATATTCAATCAATAACTTTGACATTGCCAACGGTGCGGACTCAAAGACATAAATATTCAGACCAATTCAATTTTTTTATATTTATAGTTCGTTATATTATCATAGGTGATGTGAATTTGTTCATAAATTCATCATTTATAAATTATTGCGATTTTAAATTTGTATTAATTCCATCAATTTAAATGAATAAAAATCATTTTATATTTAAATGAATAGTTTTAATACACCCTAACATGCGTAAAGTGAATTATATTGCTAGTGGAAGCTAGAATCAATATTTCATTACATTTTTCAAAATAGAAAATATGATAACCAAAAGTAGCATTAATTTATCAATGATATCTGCAATCCAATATCAACTAGTAGTAGCTAGTATCCTAGTTACTACATTAGAAAAACATTGCACATAACATTAGTACATTACTACCATGCAACATTTGAAGGTCCCACACACCATTTAGTTCAATCAATGTTCAATGTGTTATCATTACGCATTTTAGCCAAAAAGATACTATTAAGCATAGATCTGATCATTTGAGCCAAGTTGTACAACCAAATTTTGTATGCCAAAATATTCTACTCAAATTGATTACAGTTGGATTACGCGTGTAGCAATGTCACAATTCATGGCCCCCACAGCTCATGCAGAAGTTGGCATCATTCACAATTTAGGTATAGAATTTGTACTTATAACTTAATTAAATAAAATTGAAAACCTTGTTTAACATATACACTACAAAATGTCAAATCATTGGAACAACCAAGAAAAGAAAACTTTACTCAACAAGTTTTTAGGAATTGTAACATTCAGACACACTAAAAAATGGTAGCTTTTTTGACTGAGGTTAGTTTTCAGTGAAGTTGGTAGATACCTCACACTTATAACATGTTAAGACAAATCCTTTGTCCTGTCATTCATAATCATAGATACTTTGTTTGCCAACTACAAAAACTCCCATGTTCAATCTACACAAAAATCTTGTTCTGTGTAGGACCATGACAGAACATAATGCAGATAATAGAATACAAAATGGAACAACAAACAAACTTTAAACTGTACCTAACACAAATTATTAGAGAAAACAGCCCCACTGAATTGAACCAACAACAAACTCCGCAAAAATAAAATAAAAAATATAGGCAAAACGAACTATCATACATAAAAGAACAAAGTGTAGGAAATCAAAATTAGTTACAGTACAAAACCACCAAGACAATATGCTATGTTTTATTAAAATAGAGGAATCTACACAAAACAAGTCTGAAAAACTTGTGTGTAGAAATGACAATACCGAAATACAAATTACAAAACCTTAGTACTATGTAGAATATTATTAGCAAAACCAACCTTATCCAACATCCCTGACTAGCACAGATTTTGCCAAAACCATATAGGCCATTGTTGTTGACCACCAAAATTGTCATCCTTTGTCCCTTGACAGAGGAGATTGATTCCAATCCAAGCAGAAAAAGAAAAAGACCGTGACTGTACAGAAACACCATCACAAGACCAACCACAAGCACAGCTAAGATGATTGATCTATTTGAAATGGGCCAACATCCTTATCTTCTACCAAATTGCCCTTAACACATCATCATTATCAGCATTAACCTGAATAAATCGAACACCAAATTAATTTTAAAAAAAAAAACAAACATCAATCTATGTCAGAATCAATGCATATTCAGATAGCAAAGTTTTAGCCACTAGAATTAGCTAGTGACAACCAACAAAGTCCATCACTTGTTTACATGAGATCATACCTTGAAACCTCACTCCAATCATCAACACTATTGTACCATGAAAAACCCTAAATTCATGTATCATAACCTATGTAGCACCGACATCTCTGAAAAATTGTGTATTAGTGTCCGTGTCGAACACCGACACTTGCAATTACCTTTAATTTATTTATTTTTCAAATTGTGTCAGTGTTGTATTTGGGGTGTCTGCATTTCATAGAGCATAACATCGCCTAATAAAACACATGCTACATTTTTGGCATAAAAAACCCTAAATTTCATAATTTAAAGACACCCAAATAACATAATTCACGAAATTCAAGTTCGCAGCAAAAAAACCACAATTTTAAGATACCAAGTTAACAATAATCATGAATTACAAGTGCCCAAACCAAAAAAATCACAACTTTAAGATGCCCAGATGTTAAAAAACACGAATCTGATATACTCATCTAAAAAACACGAAATTTAGATACCCAAAAGTGAGAAAAATTAAAACCTGAGGGTTACAATCAGGAGGATCTTCAAAGAGGGATAAAGAGAATTGTTTATCAGCAACACCAACATCGAAATGAATGAGACCAGAACTAGGTAGATCAACACGAATGCCCTTAACAGGAAACCACAGGAAGAGTTCCTGAGCAGTCATACCAGATAATTCCCCGATCTTACCATAATCTAGGGTGCCCTTAATGTTCGGATCATAGTGAACCTCGTTTTCAAACTTTGCATTGCACGGTTCTTCCATCCAAACCTGGAATTCGCCACTACTACTGTTGATCTCGTACCTTGTTATTCCCTTGGGTAGAAGCCCCACGGGAAGACCCTTTGCCCTTAATTCATCGTATATGGTGGTTGAATTTGAACACTTAACAAAATTACAACACCAAGAAACGCTTACCAGAACAAGAAGGAGAAGAAGATGAATATTCGATGGAAGAACTGAAACCCCACCAGCCATAGCAGTTGATGATGATTGGGGCTTAGAGAGAGGCAGGAAGATAAAGGAATCGCTAAGAGTTTGGAGTCGGGAATTCTCTGCTTTCCCTTACCTTATTTATTTAAGTGAAAATATTAAATTTGTTAAGTATTGTTTAATTTTGTTGGTTACTTTGTTATGTTCTGTTTTTTAACACGTATGTTTGTTAAGTATTGTTTTATTTTCTCTGTTTTTTTTTTCAAATAAAATTTTAGATTGATTTTTTAAAATTAATCCAAACCAAACCGAATACATGTGTATATATTTGTATTTATATATTTTTTATTAGTACGATATTTATGTTAATTTATTATTAGACTATATTAATTTTTTAAAAAATTATTTTTTAGTTTAATTTAATATTTTTTTTTATTTGTTTCAACTATAAACAATCATTATCATTTTGTAATATTAACTTTTAATTTAGTATATGTTATATATTCTATTAAATTTATTATTTATTAATATTTTTATAATATTAATAAAAAATATAATTTGTAATTTAGATATTCAAAAAATCGATCCAAATCCAACCGCGTGAAATTGAATTGGATTTGATGAGATTTGTTTAACTTATTATCCAAAATTGAACAAAACTGCAACTATATTTATCTTTAGATTGAATGATATTTTACTTTAAAATTGATCCAAATCGGACCGCGAACACCCCTAAATTAGGGTACTCAATATTAAACAAACATGTTTAATATTATCATCTAAATAAATATCAGTTGAATTAAATAATCAATATTTAAAAATTATATTTTTTTTTTAATGAAAAAAGAGTCGAGTTACAAACCCATTGAAAGTTTTTTTTTAAAGAAAACCATATTTTATTATTATTAAAGGAATGAAATTAAAAATAGTTAGAGAGCTCAAAGAGAGTTCTAAGTTAGAAAAAGAATCAATACAAAAATTATTTTTATATATGTGAGAAATGTAAAATTGTTTATTTGTAAAAGAAAATTTGTGCAAGTCTTTCACATGTATCTTACATGTCAAGGTATTAAAGAAGGTTTGAAGAAAGATTGTAGTACTATGTTAGAACCTGTTTCAATATAGACTTTAGTCTAATTTTTATACATTGATATTTCCATGACGCTTAACACTTCACAACACTCAGGTTAAGTTGAAGAACACCAATTGACTTGTTTAGTAAAAAGTAAGATGAAATCTCTTTATTTGTTTAGAAAAATTCGCCACAACCACTGTAACATTTGAGGCCAACAAAGGTGGAGAGATGGTCGGCGGTGCACAAAGCATGACAATGAGCAACTCTTGACAACTTTAGATAAAAATCGAATTCACACCCGAATGAGAGGGATCATAAGATTGTGTGGATATGGGACTGCATGGTTGAAAAAATGCTTATAAGAATTTATTGTCACTGCCTATACCAATAAGGTGCATATTCTTTTCGGTAGCCTAACAAATAAGAAATTTCTAGTTAAGTGTGCATGATTTATAATAGTATTTGGATTAATGACTTTTTGAAAAGTTTCTCAAAAAGCATATGAGTGAGGACAAAGCATGTTGAAATGACCCATGTAGGTTTGTGGGGTCAGTTGGTAATTCTAAAAGCAATATGGGGTGCTACAAATGATATCAGAGCAGACCTTTCCAAGTACAATGTGGTTCGAGGATGAACCAAGTGGAAACTGGTGGACATGTAACACTCGATGCCAACGAGGATGAGGAGTGGTTGTCGGTGCATAAGGCATGACAATGAGGGACTTTTGGCAAATTTTAGGCAAAAAATGAATTCACATCGAAATGAGAGAGATTATGAGGCTTATGAGGATTGATTGCTACTACCTATACCAATAAGATGCGTATTCTTTTCGGTAACCTAACAAATAAGAACTTTATAGTTAAGTGTGTTTGACTTGGAGTAGTATTTGAATGAGTGATATTCTGAAAAGTTTTTCAAAAAGCGTGTGAGTGAGAACAAAACATGCTGAACAAACATGTATTTGTTTCTGGAGTTAATCAGTAATCTTGAAAGCAAATTAGAGCGTTACAACCACCAATAAAAAGATCATGAATATAGGTCCCATTACAATTATATTTAATCTAATCAAAAGTACGATGGTTGCCAAAACATTTTTATAATTTAAAGAGCTTTAAAAGCCCGTTGGAAGAGTTGTTTTCTGCTAATATCACCTAACCCTTAGTCTTGGATATAAAATACTAAATATTTTGTGTATGGTTCTTAAACTTAGCCTAATTGCGAATTTTTGAAACATATGACATCTTTTAAAATCAAAGTGCATTGCTTTAAATGATTTGTGATGTAAAGTTGCCACAAATCTTTTAATAAGTAAATCAGTTTTGAGTTTAAATAGAGGATGTTAATGGATTACTCTTACATTTTTAATCATACTAAATATTTTAATCATTTGAGATTATTTAGAAATATAATTAATTTTCTATTTAAAAAAATTTATAGCTTTTATAAATTTTTTAATTATTAATGACATGAAAAAAAATAGTTTAAAAGAGTTGAAAAAAAAGAGAAATAGAGTTATAAATAGTAGTAGATGGTTTAATGGAAAAATAATCATTAAGGTTTTATTAGTATGATAAAATTTTAATTATATCTCGTGTTCTATATATTTGCTTATTCATAAAATTATTTTTTATTTTAAATTTAAATAATTTTGATCTTTAATATTTTTTTACATAAATTATGTGATCATTTGTTTAATATATCATGTGTTTTGAGTGCAAAAATGAAAAAAATAAATCAAAATTGTTTGAATTGTGTTTTAATGAAATACCAAAAACCTTTATAAATTGACTTATAGTTTAAGACAAATTTTCTTTTACAATGTAATTTATATTTTGAAAGAGATGTAATATCAAATAAAGAAATTTTCATGTGGAGAATACGAGTTTAAAGTCACGTTTAAGTGAGATACGAATTAATATTTTATCAATTGATCATATTTTTACTATTTTAAAATTTTATTTGCAAATGCATAAAACTTATAATTGTAGATATTTTAAAAAATTTATATAATATTTGAATAATAGATAAATCAATTTTATTTTGATGGATTGTACGAATTAATATATTTAAATTTAATTTGTGAACATAATGATATTAAAATTGAAACAAAACAAAAAATATACCAATGATATCAATTCAAATTAAATTGGATTATATAAAAATAAATTGGTTCATTTGTTTAAGATTTTCAAAAGAAAAGTATTTTAACATAAATAATAAAAAAGTTATTCTTTAAAAACTTAAAAAAAAAAAGAAGACAAATTATAGTTGAAAAAACAAGTTAAAGTATTATATATGTTACACTAAATTAGAGTTGTAGTCCCCCTAATTTTAATTAATTTACAAAATCAATCTTCTATTTTATTTTTAAACAGTTTTAATTTCCTATTTTATTTTTATTCAAAAAGATGGCTAATGTGTCATTTAATGACACAATTTGTGTGGCGTGTGCATTAGCAACTATTACATTTACATCTATTCTACATGTTTTTTTTGTTATATTTATTTATTTAATCTAAATTAATTTTAAGAACTAATAAATAATTCAATACATGCTAAAATTGAAAATAAAATGAAGTATAAAATAATAATTTAAGATATCAAAATTGACAAATTAATTATCTTTTAATAAAATACAAAATTTAAAAGAGAAGTAAGTTGTTCTTTAAAATAATTTTAACTAAAATCAAATCCAAATTAAAAAATTATGAAACTAAAGATTGAAAATAAAAATAAATAGAAATTAATAAAGGCTCTAAGATAAAGAGGATTTAATGAAAATAAAGGGAAATAAATTAAAATGAATATGAAAAATCACCATGATATTCTCTCATTTGAATACCATCTTATCACTTATTCACTTCGATACTTGTCCATATTTCTACCATGCTTCTACTGATTTTTTCCCCTTTGTTTCTTCTAAAACATACAATTTTCAATTTCTTAATTTTTGAATTTTCTTTTAATTTCTTCCTTTTCTATAAGATTTGATTAGAGTTTTAGATTTTGAATTTGGAATTGTGTTTTAGAAATTTAGATATGAGTTTTTGAATTTGAGTTTGGAAGATGGAAGAAATCGAGCAAACACAATCAAGTGGTGAGATGAAATAAATCAAACACAATCTTGTAAGAATAAACACAATCATGTGCAGAAATAAATAAATAAAATCAAACAAACTTGACAATAGAATAAATCAAAAACACAAAAAAATGCAGAACAAACTCATGTAAGTTGGACATATATGAGCATGTTTAAAGTGTTTGTAGTAATTCAAGTGCTGTAATCGGTTAACATGTGGGTGTAACTAGTTACAACAATGGAAACTTCACTTCTGAGTTGCATAAAAAGGAAATATTTGAGGGTGTAATTGGTTAACATCTGAGGTTAACTGGTTACCACTAAATGTATTTAATTTTCATTTCAGTAACCGATTAACCAATTGGTGTAACCGGTTATAGGCCCAAGTTTTAGCATTTTTTTGTTATGTAATTACTTATTTTAGGTCCTAATCATTTTGTAACACTTGTATAAATGCGTTGAGTGCATTCTCATCTCAATATAATACAATTATAATTCTCTCTCTCTCTCTCTCTCTCTCTCTCTCTCTCTCTCTCTCTCTCTCTATTTTCCTCTTTCCCTCTCCACATTCCAATTTTCTCCATTATTGTTCACTAATCTTGTGGTTCAAATTTCCAACATTTGGCATCAAGAGACTGATCCTAATCCCCAAATATGTAGTGTGCAACATGACTTCTGTCTCCAATGAAAGAATCTCTACAAACATACCCATCCTTGATGCGAAGAATTACGACAAATGGTGCATGCAAATGAAAGTGTTATTTGGTTACCAAGATGTTTTTGAAGTGATTAAGAACGGGGTGAATCCTCTTGTCGAAGGTGCGACGGCTGCACAACAAACATCACATAAGGAATAAAAGAAGAATGATTTCAAGGCGTTGTTTTTGATCC